TCGTCTCTATATAACATCTGATAAGCGTGTAACATCACTGTTTTTTTTTACAAAGCACACATTTGATACCATCATAAGAAATATATGAGTTGAACCTAATGGCCAACAGCTGCACCACAAGATTCCTTGATACTGAGAGTTGAATCACTGTAAAGATTTTGGTGACAGAATCTTTACACTGGTCCAGATCTTGTTTATCTGAGATAGTGCATTGAAACCAAGTAGCTAGTCCTGAAGGAAAGTTGTTAACCATTGGAGGAGAGCAAGAGGATACACTAGCACCTCCTTATCCACGGGATCAGTATCCGCTTATTCACTTATTACAGTCTGAAAATATATTTTGAAAAATCCTAGAAAAATCCTATATCTAAAGATGAAGTGGCCAGAACTGGTCACTAGAAGGGGATGGAGACCATGCTACATGTAGTGTTCACTGTTAAAATAGTGTTCACTATAATCTGTGTTTTCCAGCATTCACAGTGGGGAGCTTGGAACCAATCCTCCATGGATACAGGGGGCCCTATTGTACAGTGAATAGGTTAATTCAAGGAAGGGTGGTTATGGAATAAAAGTTCCCCTTCCATCCCCTCACACAGACCATCTTACATTGTTCAGAAAGGGCCCCAACCCTGCAGAGAAGCTTTTCAGAAGATGCAGGTAAGTACAGAAGGGTAGGAGGGGATTGGTAAGTTTATCTTAGGATCCAAGCCACAGTATGTAATTTTAGTCCGACATGCAGCAATTGGGATCTAATTTATTTATTTAGGGTATTTTTATGCCATCTATTCACTAGCATTCTCAGGGTAGTTGATTGTTTTTCGTTCTGAGATAACTGGTTTATTTTGTCTCCCTAACTGAAAACCTGCAATTGAACACATGTATACAAGGATACTGAAACTCTGGAAAACAAGAACTCTTCCCATATAAAAATTGTATATGGTGTGTGAAACAAGAAAGGGTATGGGGAAAAGTTTTACATATTATATACCTGTTAGAGGTTCATTTGTGTTTCTGGATGTGGTGGAAAAGTTGAAAATAATGTAAGCATTTTCCATAAATCGAACGATATGGAGGTTGAACAAGATGTGTGTCATGCAGAGCAAATATTACCCCAAAATGTGTTCAGAGGCGCTAAGTGACATTAAATGCCTTGTGCAGTCCAGTGTGTAGCATTATCTCAGCACGGTGGAGTTGAGTTGTACTGTAGAATGGCTTGGAGCTTAGATTATTTTTAAAGCATGTTATTAATCATTGTGTGTTTTTCAACTAAATGCCTTTATGTAACCTTGGCTTTACTGCGCTCTGGCTATGCGGCTTCAGAATAAGCATTTCTTTCTCTGCTAATGTGAATATGTGCTGCATACATTTTTAAAATGTTGGCTTAGAATGTAATCTCATGTCAACAGCAGTGCTTGCTACTAGAGGAGGTCAATGTCCTCATGAAGCTCACTCACCTTATTAGAGCACATTCTCATGAAGCATGTGATTGCCCTGTTTCCAGGGCTCAAGCTTAGTTCTTGAGGCCCAGCACAAACTTCCATAATGGTTTGTCTCTCTGATACGATACACAGTCCCATCTCAGACATATAGTTGTGTGAGTAATGAAAGTAAGTTTTCCATTATAATTCCAAATTTGTTGTCTAAATTTCTGAAGTGACACCCCTGTCATGACCCACCCTGGCCCATTCCAGCCATGCTTAAATGTGATGTGTTGATCTGTGCAGTAGGCAGCACCCTTCCACCATCTTCACTTACTTCAATTAAAGTCTGCGGACGAGGGGACTTCTACCACAGATCTTCTTTCACTTCAGGGACACTGCAGAGATGATGATGAGATGCGTAAGAGAAAGTTAAAAAAAACAAATTACCATTGTGCAATGTTACAGAAACCTCAAAAATATAGAAAATTAAATTCTTAAAAGACCCTAAAAATAAGGTGGAAAATTGGATACCTCTTTTTATGCAAAGATAAACATCTAGGGAAAAATTGAGAAAAATTTATGGCAGTAGCTTCATGTTTTTCCTGAAGCTGAACACAATACTTCTCTTCTGTACACCTACTATACAGGGCTTACAGGAAATGAAGTTCTGTTATTAGCATCCGAAGAGCCCAAAAATCTCTACAAAGTGTAGCAGACAGGAGACCCTTTTAGAATTGGAATGGAGACACATGGAAAGCTTCCCATATCTCAGCCAGCCTCTGTGCGTTTACAGTAGAATGCCTGAACAGATTGTCTAGATGTAAAGTTAAATGCCTGGGAGGTAATATCTGGGGGTGGGAAGGGAGGAAGTGGGATGACGTTATTTCAAATTATAGCAGACTTAGTTTTCTCTGTGGCGTCTTCGCTATCATTATGATTATATGGGCTATTAATTATGTAGACTTTAGAGCCTGGTGTGAGTGAAGTGCAACCTTCTAGATATTGTTTGGTTGCAACTTCCGTCATTTTATCAAAAAGTGATTTTTGTTCTTTTCCTCATCTTTTAGATTTCAAATAAAACAAACCTCAGCCTCCTTGGGTCATGAATGCCCACGTATACAACAGATAATGCCCCCCCCATTAGACAAGACTATTTCGTAAGGGCTGATAATGCCTGATTGTCACAGCAGATTTTCTCCTCTCCCTTAATTTGCAAATTAGCTTGCTTTGCTTTGCAGTTTTTCGTAAGGCCATAAGCATGTTCTCCCTTTTTTAATTGGTCTCTCAGACCCAAAAGATGGCCTCAGCCACGTCCCTTGAAAATTAGTGCAATTTTAGCTAGTGAGAGGATGTCTGTAATGCCTAATTTGGACTCTAGTCACATTGATGCTTTAGCTCCAATTGCAATCAGTATAAATCATTTCATAAACCCCTCTTGCATTTTGTAGCCTTTGTGTTGGGAGGAGCACCAGAACTATTGGGGTACTATTATATGATGACCAAACATCCTCTTGCATATTTAGACATGTGGAGCGCCAACTGCCATGGTGAGCTAATGGGTCATGTGACCAGGCATCTGACCTTTTCTAATTGCCACAGCCGCTTCCTCAGCTGGAGCTTCAACATGTAAACATTGAACAGGATACTGGCTCATTAATGTTAATCAAAACAATAATCAGTCTCATTTGCCTTAAAGACTTTTATCTTAAGCCTTCTTCCCCTCTCCATTTTTTCTGCTGGTTTGCTATTAGGACTGCACAACTCTTTTCAAATTATTTCCCTTTCTTTGACATATTTCTGATGTCTCCACCCATTCTCCAAAATGTTAGTTTGCAATTTGAGGCAGAGAAGGCTTTGTCGCTAATCTCTCCTCCCCACCCCCAACATCAAAATATTGTCCTAGTTTTTACCTTCTTGCATGTTTGCAATGTGACCTGATCTATGATCAAGCTGTTGTAATTAATATGCTGCTTACATCCTCAGAATTTGTTAGTGAAGGTAAGGTGGAACATAATTGTGGTCCTTTCAAGGCCCTTAAAAGGATTCCCCCCCCCCAGCCTTGTGTGCTATCCTTAATCTGTACCCTTTGTTTATACTCAAACTCAAAGTGTTTTTCAGGTGTATTGTTTGCAGAAGGGATGGCTTTTCTGAGGTCCTTGTCCATTTAGCCTGGCAGACAGAAGATCCTGCCCTTCAGACACCTTCAAGGCCTTATCTATGATTACTTGTTGCCCATCAGATACCCTAGTGATTGTGGTGGGATCCAATTATATTGTTTGGTGGCTCCCCGACTTCTTAAACCTACGAAAAGTTTCAGGGGACAGCTTTTTGCTGGGTCAGTTTTCTTCTGATTTAAGAATGCTATAGACTTACTGATTTCCAAATATACCTACTGGGAAACAAGTGAGCAAAGCAGCAGAAAGTGCATGATTTGAATCATCAGGCTTCAGCTCACCATAAGGAGTCAGCATCCCCTGAGGCCAGCAGTTGAGACTCACAATTTCTTCCTTGATTTTGGCTTCTTCAGCTGGCATCTTTTTCATTCCCATCCAGTGGGGTATGAAAGCAGCTAGTAAACACCAGCCCTCAGTGCTAATTTGTAAACATCTTGCCACCATTTGTGGAGCAAGATGAAGCAGCCTGTGGCCCTCCACTCCAGATGTTGCTGGACTACAATGACCATCCATTCTAATCAGCGCAACTGATGGTCATGGATTATAGATGTTGTGGTCCAGCTCATCTGGAGAGCCACAAATTGTCTACTGTTGCTATCAAAAATATCTTTATTTATGATATATTCAAAAACCTGGAGAGAATGCAGAAATAGTATTCTTGTTAAAATATGGACTTTGGAAAGGTATGTTTATGCTACTGATTACCTGTGACAGTACCTGTGTTTTTTATCCTGCCCTCTTTTTCTACGATTTTTTGCTATTACCATCTTTCAACCCTATTTTTTCCATAGTGGAGTATATCCAGGATTAGCTGGAACTCCCAGTTCTCTCATATTTGCACAGCTGGAGACAAACTACTGTGCCAGATATATCACCTTCGGGTTTAGTAGCAAGGGAGTATCTGGTAAGAATGTAGTAACTTCTGAATAGATGGAGTTTCGCTTTAAAAACTGACTTCAAAACCTAATTTAGTTTGGATTTATTGGGTTTTAAACATTTATATGATAGTGTCATACAAAATCTTTCTCATTGGCTAAGCATATGTTTTACACTATCATTCCATTTATTTGCAAGAGAGGAGTCTAGTAAGAGGAAGAAATATTATTTATTTTTCTTGTAGAGTGTTAGAGAACTGTTAAAAAAAACCCCACAAAGGAAATATAAATATTTACTACAACATTATTTGCATTTTAAATCTTTCAAGAAATGGGCTCTCTCAGCTCCAGTGTGGCAGTAGTTCTAAGACATTAAGTGTGCCAGAACAATGAAAGTACAATACTCTTTATAGGTCTTTGCTGCCATCTTCTGTTTCTTCAGCCATCTACATTTGCTGTTTTTTCACTTAAGTGCAAAGCTTGGTCTTTCCTGAATTATTCCCTTTTTCTCTTTCCTTTCCTTGTTTTAGCTGAAACAAAGCGAAGCAAATGCAGATACTAAGGAAAAGCTCCCATTACGTTTACGGATTTTTGAAAAATTCCCTAACAGACCTCAAATGGTAAAAATCTCCAAGCTCCCTTCGGATTTTACAGTCCCCAAAATAAGGTAGTGTTTTTGTCATATTGTACTATCCTTCCATGTTAGACTAATGTGTAGAGTATTTTTTCTGACAATTCCTCAGATGCTGTTTTCCAGTGTACAGGTATTTTTTTTATTTTGTATTGAATCCTTCCCTCCTCTCACCCATAAGCAGACACAACATCTTCAGTGAGTAAATAGTTATTTTTTTTCATTATAATTCTGAATCAGAATTTCTAAGCAGAGCCCTATGCAGTACATATCAGAAATAAGTCTTGTTGAGTTTAGCCAAACTACTCCCAGGTAAGTAAGTGTGCAGGTGTGACATCATTTGTGGAATTAATCCGATTTTAATCTTCCAGCTTTCTTCTCATCATTATCAACTAAATTAACAAAGCACCATGGCCATCAGTGGTGCAAGTCAAATCTCACAACTGTCTGCATATGGGCAAGAGAGAACTGAGTAAAGGACAAAATGCTCTTTAATTTGCTCTAACTCTAATTGATCTTGAAGTACAGTGACAACAAAAGTGACACTTCTGTAACTAAAAGGTTTGCTTCAGAGTGAGCTTCCATAGATTACATAGGTTGATTGTTGGTTACAAATTTATTTTTATCCAGGAAAGCTCATGTTGAAAATAAATCTAAGTGTCACAACACTTTGTTTTTTTTATCTTTACCTTTTTATTATTATCTCTGCTGAATTACACTAACATGGCTACCTCTTTGAAACTTGAAATACAAATTATATTTTATGAGAGGTTTAAATGATTGCTAGCACACAGTCAGTACAAATCAATAGACTGCATGGGTGTTGCTTTAATGGGCAGTTAGATGCAGTAGTTGTTGTTTAGTCATTAAGTCGTGTCCAACTCTTTGTGACCCCATGGACCAGAGCATGCCAGGCCCTCCTGTCTTCCACTGCCTCCCGGAGTTTGGTCCGATTCATATCGGTAGCTTTGATGACACTGTCCAACCATCTCATCCTGTGCTGTCCCCTTCTCCTCTTGCCTTCACACTTTCCCAATATCAGGGTCTTTTCCAGGGAGTCTTGTCTTCTCATGAGATGGCCAAAGTATTGGAGCCTCAGCTTCAGGATCGGTCCTTCCAGTGAGCACTCAGGGTTGATTTCCTTCACAATTGATAGGTTTGTTCTCTTTGCAGTCCAGGGGACTCTCAAGAGCCTCCTCCAGCACCACAATTCAAAAGCATCAATACTTAGGCGGTCAGCTTCCCTTATCGTCCAGCTCTCACTTCCATACATCATTACAGGAACAACCATAGCTTGGAGTATGCAGACCTTTGTTGGCAAGGTGATGATGTCTCTGCTTTTTAAGATGCTGTCTAGGTTTGTTATCGTTTTCCTCCCAAGAAGCAGGCGTCTCTTAATTTCGTGGCTGCTGTCCCCATCTGCAGTGATCATGGAGCCCAAGCAGGTAAACTCTGTCACTGCCTCCATATCTTCCCCTTCTATTTGCCAGGAGGTGATGGGACCAGTGGCCATGATCTTAGTTTTTTTGATGTTGAGTTTCAGACCATTTCTTGTGCTCTCCTTTTTCACCCTCATTAAGAGGATCATTAATTCTTCCTCACTTTCTGCCATCAGAGTGGTATCATCTACATATCTGAGATTGTTGATATTTCTTCCAGCAATCTTAAGTCCGGCTTGGGATTCATCCAGTCCAGCCTTTCGCATGATGTCTTCTGCTATAAGATGAATAAACAGGGGGACAATGTACAGCCTTGTCATACTCCTTTCCCAATTTTGAACCAATCAGTTGTTCCATATCCAGTTCTAACTGTTGCTTCCTGTCCCACATATAGATTTTTCAGGAGACAGATAAGATGGTCAGGCATTCCCATTTCTTTAAGGACTTGCCATAGTTTGTTGTGACCCACACAGTCAAAGGCTTTTGCATAGTCAGTAGAGCCCCCTCGTTTGATGCTTCTGTCATATATTCATTCACATTTGCATATTCACTTCACTTTATTCCTCTTCACTTTTGCCATGTCCCCTAATCTCCTACCTCTCTTCCACCAAGTGCAGTAATGATTCTTCTTCATAAAATTGTAACCCTCAGTTTGAGACAAGAGCCCTGGGCAGGGCAAATGACTGTCTATTTGTGACTGAACGCCTCTGAGTTTGACATTATTTATTCCAAGTTAATGCAGTAGAGGCAGTCCCAGCCCAATGGCCCAGTCCAAACCAGCATTATAAGAAGTGCATATTCATAGAACAAAAAAGAATAATGTACTAAAATGTATTCTTTTTATATTGAACTTGAGGCTGTTCTGTGAAACATGAGATATACTATAGCAAAGTAAAAGTGCTTGTAATGAATAAAGACATTAAGCACCTAAATCTGGTTTAGGCAAGCATGACATAGGGTGCTCAAATAACCTAAAAATAAAATGTGAGCCTTTTTCTCAAAATCCCTGTGAAAAACCTGCTGAAATATTTTATTTTACTTTATTTTGACCAAGAATTCATCACAGTCAAAAGTATGAAAAAATACGAAGTGCAAAATAGTGATGGAAGGGAAAGTACAGTACAGTACTTGTTTTACTCTAGCGGTGGGCAACCCATTTTTTGCATCAAGGGCCACATTGACATGGGTGATATGTTAGTGTTGCTTTAATGGCAGTGAGTGGGGCAAGAAACCACAATGTGTTTCATATCTCCTTTTTCTGCAGTCTCTTTCTACTAGTCCATGCCCTTTTTTCTCTCATCTGATATGCTATGCTCCCCACCCACCCTCTTAGTGGAATGTAAGAGACAAGTAGATCACTCTCACCAAAGGTCTCAGCTTAACCTTGTGAAGCCACAGATTGTCAGCTCTTTCTTCAAAGTTGCATTTAGTTGTTTCTGAATTTAAAGTTACTGTGGTGATTAAATAAAAAACCTCCTCACTCTCATGTGTTTTTTAGTTTTCCCTGGTGAGAAACTATGAAAAAGGACTAATAGAATTGCTTTAGTTACTGATCAAGAAAGAACAGATAAGACATCATGATAGCAGTCTTCATTCAATTCCCTTTGTCTTCGTGTTTCTATTTCTTCTTTCGAATTTCAAGGGAAAGTTTTATGAAGCAGTTTATTGATCGACAGCAACAAGATACAGCTTGTTTACTGAGAAGGCTTCCCTCAGCTTCTTCTTCATCATGTGATCATTCAAAAAGACTTGCTATTGAAGACAATAAATATATTGACCAGAAGGTAAGCAAATTATATCAATATATGAGGGTTTCATGTGTACATGTCATCTTGCAAGCAAGCCCATGAGGCTTTTATTGTGTTCAGGTATCAGACAGCAGGTGTGAGGTCCATTGCTCTTTTTCTCTCCAGGAGTAGGAAAGGCCTATTGTAGTTGAAGAAAAGTTGGGGGCTACCTGACTATGCTATAGATAAAAAGAGGGTGCATATAAAATTGGATGCATTGATTTATCTAAAAGCTCCAGAATCATTCTGAACAGCTCATGATGGTTATATATAGTATAAGGTAAAAATTGGCACCTTATGTTGTATCCAGAGCTCAGAAAAATTACTTTTTTGGGGGGGACTATGGGGTCGTGTTGTTTGGGGGATTCTTGTTGTTTGCATATATTCTACAGAAGTGGAAAATGTTTCCATCAATGAATTTGTCAACTAAGAGGCATGTTTTGTACATTAAATACAAAACTTACAGGCCCAAATCCAGGTGAACATTTATGCATGCATGAATGGATTGATGTGATTCGGAACAATGAATAGCTGCTGATTAACAACGAATTTTGAATCATGTGCCAAGTCATACAACTGGCACACTACTTGGGAATTCAATTCTGGACTAATTAGCTGTAGCTGATCACCATTCCCAAGTTTTGCTAATCCACTTACTCAGGCATAAATGTTTTCTTAGATTCTGGCTGTTGGATCTTGTAAATTGTTGCTGCCATCAAGTCACTTCTACCTTGTAGGAACCTTATGAATTAATGACTTCAAAAACATCCCATCATTAACCAGCCTTGTCCAGTTTTCCCAGTTCAGTTATGGTCTTTACCACTTCGCATTGTCTTTTCATGATATCTCCAAAATACAACAGCCTTCGTTGAGTCACTTTAGCTTCATGTAAGATCTGAGCCTTGATTTGATCTACAATATATTAACTTGCCTTCTAGAGATCCCTGGTATCAGTATAGCTATCTCCAACACTCCTTTCTGAATGAATTGATAATTTTTTTAATGGTCAACTTTTTTTTAACTGCCCAACTTTGACAGTGCTACATAGTAACTGGGCATCGTCGTAAGTCAGAATTGACTTGATGACACAATAATTATTATTATTAACTGAGAATACCATAGTATGGATTATCTTGGTCTTGATTATTAGGGATCTTTTCTAGTTCTTTCATAGACAAACTTCCAAGTCCTTTTCAGCTATTGTAGTTTAATTCTAGGATAGCAGATCTGGGAGGCTGCTCCAAAATAATACACTATTGGCTTGCATGCACATGGAGTGTCTTAGTGGAAAATCATTTCATATTGCCTGCCTGCATTTTATCCATTTGGGTGGAACATTAGTTCTGTTTTGTTGCACTGATTCTGCTTTTCTACAATTACCATAGCAACCTTCTATTTAAATGTACAAATTTCCTCCAAATCCCTTCTCACTAACAGATATTTGAAATAATAATTTTCAAAAATACTTGTCTGTATGCACAGTAGAATAGAAGGAAGCATGAGCCATGGGGGATAGTAATTAAATATGCAACACTGAAACAAACAACATCAACAAAACTGAGTTTCTGCTGATAGCCACAGTTTTCTCTGTGCATGCTATCTATATTTCATGCAGTGTGAAGCTGGGAACCTAAAATATTTGATAGGATACAGAATGATGAAAATTAGACCTCATCATGTAACAGAAGCAAATTTGTAAATGTGATGTGCCCGGGGCCCTTTAACATTTCCTACCTCTACTCTGATAAGCCATGAGAAGGCCAGCTGGTGAACAGGATTAAATGGCTGTCTAGTCACCTCCACTTTTATCACTAGGATTAAATCTAAACCTAATTCATACACTCATAAAAATCAATTGCTGTCTTTAAAAAAAAACCTAGTAGTTTAAAGGACTATGTCTTAGTTTTGATAGGGGGACTTTAAAAAAAGAAACTTTTCTGAGCTCTGAAGCAAATTCCGCTGTTTTTGTTGAAAAATTCTCTTACACTATTGTTTTATTAAAAGATGTAAGGTCCTAACTAAAGCCTTGTCTCTATCTTTGTAAACTTGACTAAGAAGTAAGAATGATTTAGGAATGGTTCTCTGTCTAGAAGGATCTAGACAGACTTGAACATGGGGCCCTATCCAATAAGATGCAGTTCAGTGGTGGGAAAAGTAAGGTCCTGCACTTAGGTAGGAGGAAACAGATGCACAGGTACAGGATAGGTGGTACCTGGCTCGACAAGTACCTGTGAGAGGGATTTAGGTGTCCTGGTGGACCACCACCTAAGGATGAGTCAGCAGTGTGCTGCAGTTGCCAACGAAGCCAACACAGTCCTAGGCTGCATCCACAGGGGGATATCATCAAGATCAGGGGAAGTGATAGTACCACTCTACACTGCACTGGTGAGGCTGCACTTCGAGTGCTGTGTCCAGTTCTGGTCACCACAATACCAAAAATCCATTATGCCTGAAGGTAGGATAAGAACCAATGGGTGGAAACCCGTCAGAGGGAGCTGCAACCTGGAAATAAGGAGAAATTTCCTGATAGTGAGAACCATTAAGCAGTGGAACAGCTTGACTTCCGATGTTGTCGGTGCCCCATTGCTGGAGGTTTTCAAGAAAAGATTGGACAGCCATCTGTCTGGGATGGTATAAGGTCTCCTGCCTTGGGTAGGGGGTTGAACTAGAAGACCTCCAAGGTCCCTTCCAAACCTATGACAATTCTGTAATTCTATGATAGCAGGATTTCTCTTATAGAGGATTATATGAGATTTCTGTAACTGAACATGTTCTGTTCCTAACTCTCTCTGACACTATCGGCTTTGTGGGGAAGATACAGTGTGGGATATCTTGGTCTAGAACAGGGTCTGGGTGCCTATACACCCTCATAATCAGTATCTACTCTAAGCTCTGAAATAAGAGTAGGACTGGCAGAGCATTAAAGAAGATGGGGTATAGTTTTTGCCAGAAGTTAGAATAACTAGTTGCAAATAATTTAGTTCCTCGGTTCTAATTTTTATTTTTCTATAGTCTCAGATAACTAAACAGTTTTTTGATTAACAATTGATTATTTCATTCCTTTTGTAATATAACCAACATTTTACTTACTCCTAATAATCATAGAGGTATAGCTTCATTGAAAATTTGTTCAAATCCTGATTCATACTGTGCTTCAGGTTTTGTTATGGGTTTTGAGGTGAAAGGAAGGGTGGATATGCCATAAGCCGGAAGCTTGTAATAATAAAGGGTTTGTTTTTTAAGCAACTGTTTTAATTACTTTTTAAAAATAGGAAAGTATAAAGTTCCCTTTAAAATTTGTAAATATAAGAGTAAGTGGCTAGTTTGGGACTATAACTGTTCTTCATCATACACCAGCTTATAAAGTTCATTATGGAACGTATACAATCCTGATTTGGCCTATATTTCTTTTATATTGTACAGTGGTGTCTTGCTTGACGAGGATTAATTCGTTCCGTTCAAATCACTGTTAAACGAAATCCTCGTCAAGCGAAATGAAAAAGCTCATTGAAATACATTGAAAACCAGTTCAATGTGTTCCAATGGGCGAAATACCTCAGTGTCCAGCGAAGATCCTCCATAGGGCGGGCATTTTCCGGTGCCTGTAATGCGAGGAATCTGTCCTAAAGCACAGCGGGGAGCCATTTTGCACAGCAGGTGGCCATTTTGAAACCCGACGATCAGCTGTTTTTGATCATCGTCAAACGACAAATTGGTTCCCGAAGCAGAGAACCGATCGACGTTAAGCGAAAAAAGCCCATAGGAACATCGTTTTGCAATAGCGATTGCAAAAAACTAATTGTCAAGTGATTTCCTCATCTAACGAGGTAATCATCAAGCGAGGCACCACTCTATTTGTGGTCATGGCCAAAAATCTATTGAAAATGCCTAGAGCAGTGGTTCCCAGCATTGGGTCCCCAGTTCTTAGACTACAATTCCCAGAAAACCTGGGTATCACAGCTAGTGGTGAAGGCTTCTGGGAGCTTTAGTTCAGAACATCTGGGGATCCAAGGTTGGGAACCAGTAGTCTAGAGCTATTGCAGTGGTCCATACAGCAACGTAGAAATATGTATGATTTGATGAAAAGCAATATTCAATATATGCTCAAAGTATGCTTACACACATAAATGCACCGAGGCTGGTCACTGATACTGCATGTGAGCTGGTATTTCTCCTCCACTCTTCCCTTCTTTTTTTCTTCCTCTTTAAGTTATTGTTGATACTTGCTTCTTTGATATGCAAAGTTCTTCAGGTTATCTCTTTTGCCCTAAGGAGCAAGGGTTTTGTTCTGAGTTCACTTCCAATTAGAGCAAAAATAGATACTCATTTAAATTAATTCAAGTATCTAATAAAATGTGGATGATAGTAGCTGAAATCCAGTAGTGAGTTATAATTAGAGTAGGCCCATTGAATCAGTGTGGATTTAGTAAGTCAGCATCTGTGTATGTTCCATTGAGTCAATGGGACTACTCTAGTTGTGCCTTTCTACTGGATTTTAGCAAATGAATAACTCCATTTTCCACCTCATCCCCAAGATCACAGGAAACAAATGTTGAAATCTGGGATTTGAATTTTAAAGTTATGAATTCTGTGTTCTGTGTTACTGAAGTTTTTCACATGAACAATGAATGCTAGCTTAATCCAAACTTCTTGCTTGGTTACCTTTTCATTTTAGAGCTTTTAATCCAACCTAGATGCCTCTTTTGTTAGTTATTCCATTAAACACAAATTATGGCACCAGTCTTACCTAAGTATGTCATGGGAAATGTTGGGGGAAACTGAGTAATGATAACATTCTGAGAGCCAAAATCCTCATTACATTAAGAGATCAGGGGTTTGTGGTGTTATTTTCACTGAAAGGCAATTGTAGGAAGCTGTGTGTGATGCTGGTGGAGTGCTTAACTCTTTACCCTTGTGTTATTTTCTTGCTCACCCCCTTCCTGTTTTCATGCACATATATGTGCCTAAACACGTTTGTCCTGCAAGGAGAAAGTATAGGCACAAAATAGAAAAGTTCCTTTTAAGAAGAATGAATGTGACACTTATGCTGAAGCTATGCATAACCGGGCAGCAATAGGATAATTCTGTGGTTCTGGAGACACTACATTAATCTTTTACTCATTTACACCTTTCTTTAAATTGCAAGACTTCACTTCAATGTGAGTGATTTTGTGGCACCAAATCATATAAAACTGCATATTACTATGACATTTTAAGCATGAGTGAGATCAGTTCTATTCACTGTTGTGAACTGCTATGCTAATTGAGAAAGCCTGCATCAAGGCTGAGTGATAGTGCACTAATCTGTGGATTATTTTCTATACATCCCATCTAAATTAGCCCAATAAAATAATAAGGATGACTACTCATATATAGCATAAGCAGCCAACTGTATATGTGGATAGTATTAGAAAAGGAGGGCCTTTTTTGCCCCAGTGGGCAAAATGTGTAACCAGAGATGATCTGAGGCTCTTCACAGATGCATTTAATTTGAAGATTTGTTTCAATCCCAGAATAAGATCCTTGAAATGAACGCACAGTAAAAAAAGAAATCAAAGGAAAATCAGTGAATATCTAACATAGTACAGTGCAGTGATGAAATGAAATGTATAATACAGAACAATCTGAATTAAAGTATCAGGTGAAATTATAGAAAAAGATCCACAGTACGTTTTCCGTAAAACATTATATTTGCCCCTAACCTTCCAATTGAAGTATCAGGTGAAATTATAGTTATAGAAAAAGATCCACAGTACGTTTTCTGTAAAACATTATATTTGCCCCTAACCTTCCTCCAGCCCTCTGGCTCAAGTCACTGTGTTCCAGTTGTTCAACAGTCTTTGGACTACAAACTGAGAAAAAAAAGATATAGGGCTACGTACTCCAAAGAACAGGTTAGTGAAGACTCAGAGAAATGTGCAGGAGAATTGATCCATGACAATTCAGATGGGGAAAAGCAGAAGGAAAAAAGAAGTCACATGTGTGTGAGAGTGTGTGTGTGAGAGAGAGTGAGTGAGAGAGAGTAGTCTAACCATTTATAAAAACTGAAACTTCTCTCAAAATTAAAGCAAACTAAGGCCTCAAGATCACTCACAAACTGCAGAATTAAAAATTACATGGGAAAAAGTGAACTGAAAACCATGAGCATATGTGTGTGAATAAGTGTGAGTCCCTTGTTCTCCTAAGCAGCAATTGCCTCTTGTTCCACTGATGGCCCTAATTTTCTTGCATTTTCTTTGGCTTCTTCACCTTCACTCTTAAAATTCAATTCTGCATTAGTAGATGGCAAGCTGGGAGAAAACGTGTATTGCATCACTTTTGTTTATTCCCAGAAAATAAATCATCCTTTTGCCCTGCAGCAAATGACATTACTGTTGGATACACTCTGGGCATAGATCCACTGAAAGTATCCAACTTTATAGCCTGTCCATATTGTTCCAGTATCTTCCAGCTCAGCCAGAGTCTTGATTCCAAGCAATCATGCATTGTATCTTTTTAGCTCATTCCATTGTGCAGAAGTCCAGCTTGGAAAATATGATATGATAAAACTTTATTACGGTCAAAGTCCAGCCACAAATAAAACATTGAAATATATAATTATATAGAGGTATACAAAAATATTGGGATCAAATGCAAATACTTGGTTCTGAGGTGAACAACAACAGCATCAAAACATCCCCCCTAAAGCAATTCCAGAATTCCTAGCAGACCATGCTCTAACTACAGAGGCTTATCCACTTTTAGGGTCCTTTTTCTAAAGCCCATTGCACCAGTAAGAAATTTGGCAACCCTATGTGTAAGAATGGGATTGGAGTCAGACAGCAGCACGTGCATACATTGTTGCTCTGTACAACCGGGAAATCGGCCACTCAGAGGGGAGACAAGTTCTTCGCGTACATCCTTGTAAAATGCACACCGCAACAGGACGTCTTCAATTATTTCTGTCTGCTCCATTCCACATGGGCAAAGGCGCTCTGCCCAGGGGATCTTTTTATACCGTCCCTCCTGCACTGCTGAAGGTAGTGCATTAAGCCAGGCCAGAGTAAACACCCTTCTATGCCCAAAGAGGCTATTTTTTGTTCAATTAACTGAACCCATTTTGGCTTTAAGATGTCTTGCAGGATCAATGGTGCAAGACCAATAGGAAGATAAGACAGTGTGAGCCAGTACATGAGGATTGCAACCCATATCCTGGCTTCGATTTTAATTTGACCAGTTTCCAATCTTAGTTTTACGTTGGCAACATCTCTGGGGACTCCTAACATTGCCCTCAAGAATTTTGATTGCACAAGTTCTAAGGTTGCAATATTTGGGAAGGGGCCCAATTGGGAGCCATACAGTAGTTGGGCTACTGCTTTTGCGTGGAACAATTTAATGGCCAAGGGAATGTAATGCCCCCCTTTATTCTCGTAAATTTTAATATTGCAGCAAAACTTCTCTGGGGATTTAATGCTTTGGAGAATTCCTGAGCCCCTTTTGCCAGAAGGAAATTGTTGTGTTGCTTATGAAACAAACCAAAGATTTCCTCAATGACGTTCTATAGACAGTACATTCCACAGGCTGGTTATCCAGTTCATAGGCCATATATAGGTAGGCCAGGCCACAGGCCCATAGGATAATTCCAGTAAATACGTATAGGACTACAACGTCAACTTATCTCCGGACTATTTCCCATTCTTCTATAGCAGCTATTCTGTTGCAGCCAATGATGTTTCCAGATGGAAAACATCCATTAAACTTTTTGCTGTCTACAACAGTTGAGGTTGTTGCTGCCAAATGTAGTGACTTGCCATCCAAAAGCAGATTCCCCTCCCCCCTTTGGTTTTTACTAAAACCATCCCCCTTTCCTTATTCCATTTTGGCAGCTATAGCAGGTATTCTTCAGAATAAAGTTTGTTCCTGTTGTTGTTTTAATGACATTTGTAATCTGTTGTCATGAAATTTGGTTGAGTGTATCAACACAACAAAAATAGGAGATCTCTAACGTCACACTCGATAATTAGGAGTCCTAATTACTGACTGAAAATTGCTTCAGTGTTATAAGAAGTGCAAATTCCCAGTATGTAAAGGTATATTTCCGGTGCACCAGAGCAGGTGAACGTTATAATGCCATAGAACTACCTATTCACAATTAATATAGATACTTTTAAGATCACAAAGTAGTCAGTAGCTAGTTACTAGGTCAACAGTCGGTGAGAAGAGATACTCCAGGTAAACTGCCTTTTCTTTCATTTTACAGCTTCGCAAATCTGTTTTCAGCATTAGGGCAAGAAATCTTTTGGAAAAGGAGACTGCAATCAATAAAATTCTTAGGTAATAATTCTGATTAATGATTTCTTTCATTTGATTTACAAGTATGTCTCTGCTGAAAAGGAATAATTGTGTCCAGTTTATTTCTATCTTTCCTTCTCTCTGTCCTCTCCCTGTATCAGTTTCAATTTCTTTCCCTTTACTTATAATAAAAAGGCCTGATACTTAATTACATCAAGTTTCTTGAAATCTTGATGTAATTAAAAATCTTCTAGTGACACCCTTTGTCTAATTTGGAATAGGTTGATTTATGCGGAATGAAGTTCATGATGCTCATGGGATATCCAAAATTAGTCTATATTGAAAATAACTCCACTGCACCTTAAGTGAGATCACTCCAGCATTTTCACCCCTGCAACTCTCTTCAAAAAATTTACAGCTAAGGTTAATCACGGAAGGTGTGAAAGAATCATGGGGCTCTGGCTGAGGACCAATTCCAGCTGTGAAGATGGGCAGCTGTAACATACTGGAGGGATGGGAAACTACATTTTCCATGCTTCTTCAAATACTTGGACACTTTGGAATATGGAAAACAGTGCCATATAAAGATGTCTTCAATAAGAGTAATTTATTAAAATTTCCCATTAAGAAATATAAAATTGAACTGAAATAGACCCAGCATTCTCTTGGCCTCTGAGCATGATGATGCAGGCCCAACTGCCCCTGCTCGCTTCCACCTAAAACTGAAAAGTATTAACTTTCTATATTTTTCATTCAGCCCTCCTTAGTTTGCCTCTTATGAGGCAATGTGCAAGAGAAGCCGCTGCATATACTTGTAGGAGCATCCAGGCAGGAATTAGGAAGTCCACGGCAAGAACTTCTTAACATTTCTTACCTTTACATTTTGGGGTTTGCCTCTGGCAGGAATCAGGAGGTCCATGGCAAGACCTTCTTAACATTTCTTACCTTTACATTTTGGGAAAGAGTAGACAGAGAGGGACGTGGTGGCGCTGCAGGTTAAACCGCAGAAGCCTCTTGTCTCAGAAGACAAGTAGTCATAAGATCAAATCCACGTGACAGAGTGAGCTACTGTTGCTTGTCCCAGTTCCTGGCAACCTACCAGTTCAAAAGCGTGTAAAAATGCAAGTAGATAAAAAGGTACCACCTCAGTGGGAAGGTAACAGTGTTCTGTGTCTAGTCACGCTGGCCAAATGACCATGGAAACTGATTTCAGACAAACGCTGGCTCTGCAGCTTGGAAACAGGGATGAGAACCTCCCCCTAGAGTCGGACACAACTGGACTAAATGTCAAGAGGAACCTTTACCTTTACCTTAGACAGAGAAAGGCATTGAGAAAAAGATTAGTTTACATATGGTTCACATGCCAGGAAAAGTATGGGTTTGATTTGACCCCAAAGTGAACCCCGTCTTCGAAACGCCTTATTATCATATTCTGCTATGTCATTAAAAAGCATTCATTTTCCCTTTTGGATTAATATGGCCTGTATGTAAACATATTTTAACTACAGCAGCAATGAACAGTGACACCAATCCCTTCCATTTTCATTACTACATTTTAGAAGTAATAGTGGTACACATCCAAGAATAAAAACCAGGAGAGGCAGAGTCATGACTCAGACTTCTAGTGCTTTTCTTGTAAATTTCAAAGGCCATTGGAAAAAAATATAATGTACACAACAAAGCCAACTTCATTATTGCTTTGTAATGACTTCTGACTTCCTGAAAAGGAAGCTTTTTTTCATTTATTGGTTTAGATATAAAACAAAAAATATGCCTTTCACTAAATAATTTTTCTCTGATGTTTTTACTGTATTTACTATTTACTGCACGCCTCATACACAAGTTCTGTTTTCAGGTGGTACAAGCCGCTAAAAGGTACAAGCGCCTTGTACCAGCACCTTCATTCTGTTTGAAATAGTGTTGGGGAAAATGCATTATCACCTTCATGGAATTATAAATTCAGTTTTGACCATTTGCTGACATTTTAGACAGATGCTCTTAAAACATTCTAACACAACAGGCCTTTGAAAAAAATTAATGTAGTGTGTTATGGCCAAGTAGGTTAATTGTTTCAAACTGTCCAGGGATGGTATTTGGGCATTCCATTGTATTATGTCTCTACTCAGATAAAAGTCCTGTTAATTTTAGAAGGAGATCATATGGCCTGCATGTGGCCATCATGGTCAATTTTGCTGTCCATCCTCCCTGGAAAAGAACTATATTTTGACAAACCTTTTCAGCATGACAATTCCTCTGCACACTTCTAACACTTAAAAAAAGAGACTCTCATAAAAATGGATTTTTAAATCAATCGCCACTCCACAGGGCTTGTTCAGTCTTCTTGAGCAAATAAGATTGCAACTTTAAATTATTACAGTTTTGTTTACCTTAATAATAATAATAACTACATTACTAATATTGAATAATAATGTTGCCGCCAACTTATAGTGGTCCTTTTCATGGCTTTCTAAAGGAATAAACCACCTAGGAATGCTTCACGATTCCCTTTCTCTAGGAGCACTCTGACGCCATATAGATTGCTCAAGACTTCACAGGCTTACTCACATAGAAGCGAACTGAAGTCCTGACCCCAGGGTGCTGCATCTCACTGATCTATTCAGCCAGCTTTTGCTGACAATACATATACATTAAATAATGTTTTGCATACAGTGTTGCCTAGGAATAAATACCTCAAAGCAAAAGTATATGTGACAGAAAATAATTATTTAGAAAATTCAAGAAGTTAACTATAGTTAACTATAGCTGCTTTTCAAGTATTTTGTTCTCTGTGTGGAAACTGAATTAAAACAAATTACAGGCCTGAGGCACATAGATATTTATTTATTTATCGAGCTTCTAGACCACCCGACTTAATGAGATACTACTTGGGGCACTTTACATAATTAAGCAAAACTAACTAAAATAATAAAAGAATTTATAGATAATACCACAAATAAAAACAAAAACAGGAAGGCAATCGAGAATTGCCACCTGGTGGCTTAGGTGAATCAAATTATATAAGCCATAACGTAATAAAACAAATCCAATAATATAATAAAACAACCAAAAACTGCAATAGAAGATGGGTCTCAAAAATTAACCTAGGTTGGTGGCTATCCAAGACAGTTTGAAAAAAAATATGCATTTGCTTCTTTTATTTGCATCCATCTTCCCTCTAAAGATGGATGTGTATATGAAAAGTAGTGTACATTGTTCTCCTGCTCCCATTTTTTCTTCATGGTGACTCTATGGGATGGGTTAAGCTAAGAAATAATGACTGATGTAAGGTTCCGCAGTATGCTTTGTGTCTGAGTAGGAACCTGGGTTTCACCATTTCTAGTTAGGTACTCCATGGTTAAGCTAAGGTCTCTTTACTGCCAGTACCTGGTTGGAGCAAGAGGGACCTACAGCTGCAACTTACAGGCTTCAGCAGGAGAGAGTTATGTGACTGACTATACATTGGCCGGTTGCTCCGAGTGATTCACAGCCAAACAGATGCATGGAAAAGGGCCTAACCAATTCCTGTGCTGCTGACACAGGTGCATGTATTGTGGCGAGGGTTGTTTTCTTTCTTTTTTTTTAAAATAGTTTTGAATTCCTGGGTTAGCCCTAGATTTTCTTACCACTTGCCGTAATTTCACAACTTATTTTGGTAGAGCCTGCACTCGTCAACGAATGCTGAGTGGTTCCTTCGAGGGGCAGCCAGCAAAAGAAAGATCAATTCTGAGTGTCCAACATCATATACGCCAAGAACGCAGGTAAATACGGTTTCAACAAAAATATTGCTATGCATATCAAATGCAGTGTATCACACATTTGTAAAATAGAATTAGCTTGCACAAAAGCCTAGTCTGTACGTTTTTATGGCTGAAATGTTTAACACTGAAATTCACTGTGATACTCCGAAGAGAAGTACAGTAAAACCTCTTTTCCTTCCAAGTGTGCATGAATGGTAACCATGTTAATCTGATGCAGCAAAATGAGTCCTGTCACACTTTAAAGACTAAGAACTTCAGTGTTTTCGGGACTGCACCATATATCATCACTACTTAAAATTTTAGATTTAATACTGTGTTTCCCCGAAAATAAGACAGGGTCTTATATTAATTTTTGGTCCAAAAACGCATTAGGGCTTATTTTCAGGGGATATTTTATATATTTTTTTCATGTGCAACCATCTACATTTATTTAGCTACAGTCATGTCATCTTATTCTGGTTGCTGCACAATTGTGGAGGGCGGGGTTTCATTAACTGGGACTTATTTTTGGGTTAGGGCTTTATATTAAGAGCACCCTGAAAAATCATACTAGGGCTTATTTTCAGATTACTGTATTTTTTGCACCATAAGACTCACTTTTTTCCCACAAAACAGGGGTGTGGAAAGTCTGTGCGTCTTATGGAGCTAAGAAAACAGATTATATTTTCCTGTTTTCTTCTCCTAAAAAATTGGTGCGTCTTATGGAAAGGTGCGTCTTATGGAGCGAAAAATACGGGTAGGTCTTATTTTATTGCTTGCTTGCTTGCTTGCTTGCTTGCTTGCTTGCTTGCTTGCTTGCTTACTTACTTATTAATTCATTCAATTTTGATGCCACCTTTTTCCCAATGCAGGGACCAAAGGGAGTTCAAAAATTATTTTAAAACCCTAAAAACACAATAAATTACTACAATTTAAAAACCTGAACATATATTATTACAAACAATCAATTAAAATATTTTAAAACACCTTAAAATACATTAAAACAAACATAACATAATTTCATTGCTCAGTTATTGAAAGCCTAATTGAACAACTAATTGTAAAAAAGGATGGCCAAAGGGAGGGCATTCCACAACCTGGGAGCAGCCACAGAGAAGGCTCTCTCATACATTCCCACCAGATGCTCCTTGTGAAGGCATTGGGACTTTGAAAAGAACATCCCTTGAAGATCTTAAGAGCCAAGAAGGCTTATATGGGGAGATAACAGTTCTCCAGATAGCCTGGACTCAAGCTGTATAAAGTCATAACCAGTACTCTGACATTGATTGGCAGCCAGTGAAGCTGTTGTAATGAAGGATATATGCTCCTTGTAACTGGTCTGAATCAGCAGTCTGCCTGCAACATTTTCAACTAGCTGAAGTTTCTGAACACTAAAGGAGATCCCACATAGGGTGTGTTAGCAGTAATACAAGTGGGATGTAACAAAGGTATGTTTCACCCTAGCCAAATCAGACATATCCAGGAGTGGGCACAGCTGTTGCATCTGTTTTAACTGTGCAAAGCCACTCCTGAGTGTCCAGTCTCAGGGATGGATACACCAAGAGTACACCTGAAGACAGAGTACAGGTTGAATCTCTGTTCCAGAATATGCCTTTCAAATGGTCAGCGACACCTGTGTCTTCTATGAATTACATTTCAGTTTGTTTGCCCTCATATACAGCCCATTATTGACAATCGGCATTGCTTTAGCACAGGATCAGCATCCTCTGAGTTAGATGGAAAGGAGAGATAGCATTTAGATTGGGCTGAAGACTATACCGACTTTTGCTGTTACCTAAGAAAAAGTGATTGTGAAGCAATCAT